CCCCAAAACCCCAAAACCCCAAAACCCCTTAGAGCAAGATTTTTAGCAATATATAATAATTCTAAATCTTAGGATATTCTTGATTATTCCAAACAGTATTATTAAATAAAGTTAATTTATTGTTGTAATCTAACTCTCAATACCTTGTTTTTACATAAGGTCTGGAAATTGATTCATAGCAGGGCTCTACTGTATAATTAGCAGAGCTTGGTATGAATTTTTTACTCTCAGATATAGCAACACTGAACTTGATATTTTTCGATTTTGGAATGGTAATTTTAGGCTCTCTCTTCTTAGTGAGATATATTGATTAGGAGACATCATAGGAACATGGATCTGGCTCAGTGCTTTTCTCAAATTTCCATGTCTTCTTGTCTTTTATTGGCTTCTTAATGTGATAGCTAGATGACCTTTGCATCACGAAATTTTTCTGCACACAGGATTTAAGTTTAAATGTGAAACTTACATTAGGACTATAAGAGGTTGGACTTGGGTTAACCACAGATAAAAACTAAGCTTCACTTAAGTAATCTCCAGTTTCAGCTTTGCTATATTATTATTAAATTTTAATGCTCACCTCAACTTTCCTAGCCTTATTTTCCTTCTTTACTCTGTATTGTATTAAACACTCGAGGGTAGCAATTTAGATTTCTTTATAGCATCATCAGTAAACGTTTTTCTTTGAGCTCCTTTCCCGAAGTTTCCACTTTTAGAGTCCCAACTTGCATCTTTATGATACTAACTGGGACCAGGAATTTATGATCCATTTTTTTAGACATACCTCAAGAAATTGACAAATTTATCTTTAGGCATTGAGTATTAGGGTTGTCTAGGAGGTAAGCCTACTTTAGGCAATTTATACCCTTCTAATCCGAATTGAGCACTGCTGCCAACAGAAGGATCGATTGTTGACATATTATTTTTATTGGTTTGTTCTTAACGAATGTAAGTAGGAATAACTGCAGCACTCTAGTTCACAGGAATTGAGTTTCTAGTTCTCGCTGAGCCTATTAGTTACTCTAAATCGGAATTATGATAAAGTATTTTACTTGGATTTGTGGAATAACCTGTAGTTCCTGGTCTCATTGAATTGAGATTTGGTAATGCTGGACCTTAATCAACTGTCTTGTATCTATTTATGCCAGCTGGAGATTATGATCGCTAAAGATCTGGAAGTGATCGCTCATTATGGTTAGAGAATATTTTATTGATGTTTTTGGTGAAACTTGAACCACCAATAGTTGGCTTATTACTGTTACCATCATTTTGAGGTTTAAATGCACTCTATGACTATGATACATTTAAAAAAGACTTTGAATTATCCTGTATATTGATATAGCTTCTTCCAAGATTTTGATTGTTGGGAAACATTTTATTTATGTAATGTAATCTTTAAGCAGAAGTAAATTTAATTTAGTATCAGTTTAATTTCATTGTAAACTATTCAACTTTAAGGGGTTTTGGGGTTTTGGGGTTTTGGGG